AACTCATGGTTCCTTGGACTTGTCCCTTAAATCATCATATAAATATAGCTAAACCTCTTTCTTTTCAATGATTTTGATTTCATCAATGGAACAAGAAGCAAAACCAGAGTTTCTAGCAGCTAATTCTTGTATGTTAAACATGGAAGAAGTTATCAATCAACAAATTTGTACTCCTAAATGTAACATTTGATACAACATTGTTACAAAACTAAACCCAATTTGATAAACGTTACCTAATTCTTGGTCATGTGTGTAGCATCAAAGATTTACTTTGTTTCAGCTTTTGGTGTTATTGAGTTGTTGTTGTTTAGATCTTTCAACTTTCTGAATGGAGTATTTGAGTTCTTGTTGAATGTTAAACCTTGAAGGTGAAAGAACAATGTCTTTCCAGATTGATCCAGCTTCACAAGCAGGATTTGGTTGGTTATAGAGCTCGTAAATCGAATCTGCGTTCTCGTTCAAACTTCCTACTCGCTTCAAACAGTCTATCTCCACTGGATCAACCAGCAACGTCTTTTCCTTTGCTTTCAAACCTATCAACTGCCACAACCACACTTCAGTGTCAGTATCTTCTTCTCTACAATATGCTTGCACCAATGATTTTATCTCTCAACAGGTTTCCTAGCTCTAGATTTGTTGTAGAGGTAAGAGTTCTTGTTAAGTCTAGTGCAGGGAAGTGTAGTTAGTCTAGGATCTTGGTTTGGTCATTGGCTGGAGAGTTAGAGACTTCTCTAGTCTATGGTGGTGAAATGAATTAAAAGAATGAGTTTACTGATTCCAGTCTCAAGACTAACCTTTGGTGAGCCTTCCAACGCGTTGGTGCAGTAGAGCCTAGCACTGTCAACAAGATTGCAATACGTAGGAAATGCATCTGCAAATCTTTTGTGAGATCTCAGCTGCGATCTCACCCTAACCGCTCTTCTACACATGATAGCTCTCCTACAATCTCAGCCAAAAAAAACACTATCAAGTTAAAGACACAAACTCCAAAGATAGATAGATAGAAGTTTGCTTGTACTCACCTAATGCCTCTTATAACTGCTAAATACGCATCGCACACAACGCCAACTAATTCTATTCTATACGGTTTTCTCCTACGCCCATCTTCTTGCAGCTGTTGTCTTTCACCTATCCGTTCCCAATAGTTCTCGGTTATAACTCCATCGTCACCAACTTTGTATCCAGCTCCCATTCTGTAATGGTGACGGTGCACGTTCCTCGCCATTGTTATTGTCTGCACCACAAAAGGTACCCAAGAGAGTGTTCCATCCATTATCACATCCCTCCCCTCGTTCAAAGCCGTCACTAGCAGCGATGAAGCTGCATCCGTCGATGACTGATGAACCTATTCTCACAAAATATTTCAAATCTCAGAATCCAATCTTTTCATCTACTTGACAGATTCTTCTATGCTTTCATATGTTCTTACCAGTTCAGCTGTCTGGATCATATCGACATGGCCACGAGAGCTTAACGCTCTGTAAATCACATCAGATTCTTTAAAAGCATCAGCTTCGATCACAACAGCGTCAGCGCCTGCCCAAAAGGCTCTGAATCCATAACAAGAACCATCTGGTTAGCTTTCAGCTACACATATATATATATATTTCTTTCAATGTATATGATAAAGTGATTTGAGTAATGAGATATTTGTTTACTCTTTGAGAATGTCTTTAAGCACAGTGCTTTTGCCTGCACCCATCCCACCACCCATGAGAAGTAGAACCGGACTTCGGTCTTTATGAGCCACTGGTGCCATAACTTCAGTACACTGGGAGTCATCCATAGAAGCAATCCCCATTGCTCTCATTTCCTCTACCAAAGTGTTGAACACTCTTGCCACTTTTAAGTTCTTAGTCACCCTCTTAATCCTCTGTTCCCTATATACACACACACAGTATCATCCATAAGTCTACTAAAACAGAACACACGAAAGCCGATTTCTGTTTCTTTTCTTCCTTTACCTTGTAGCTGCCATTACAATCTGCTTCAACTTCCTCTTAGGCTCAGCGTCCGCGGTCAGTATCTGAGATTCATATAAATATAGACATTGAATGTTTCTGGTCTACAATGTGAAAGGATTTTTCAGACAGAAACACAAACCTGACTAATCATGAGATCAGCGTGGCTCCAGTGATAAGCAAAGTAGCTAAGAATGCATCTTTCAAACTCCTCAACGAGCTTAATGAAGAGAGAATCAGCATCAGGCTCTTGAGAGAAGAAGCTGTAAATGTCTTCTTCACAACATTCTGATTTACTAATGTATTCTGCTGCTAACTTGCAGAGATTTGGACATTCTCTTCTCTCCTTGAATCCCATTTGCCTCGCTACAATCAAAAGAAAGCGTTAACTTATGATCCAATGCATTGCTTGTTTCATGGATAATGTATTGAGAGAATTACCAACGTAAAGAGAGAATCTCTCGAGTTTCTCATGGCCTTTGTGTTTGTGAGATGATCTTATACGAGGGATGATTTTGGAGTCACGTAGCCTTCGTAGACGGTAATGCACTGCGGCTGCAATCATCAAACCGATCGATGACACAGCCAAGATCTGCGTGTACGTCGTCGCTTTGTTACCGTAGTATTCTGTAACAACAACACATTCATTTTCACAAGATCAGTAAGAAGAATAAGAAAAATTACAACAAAACAGCAAATATTGGACCTCTCTGCATGACGGTGGATTTTGATGGTGTAGGGATCAATTGGTGTGTTTGGTGAAACTCTGAAGATTGGTCGTGGTCGCCATTGTTGTTGTTTCTTGAGTCTCTTTTGTGTTTTTCTTCTTCCGTTTTCTGTGCATCACCATTCAATTTCAGTCGTATGTTACTAAAAATAGCCAAAACCGAGTAGTACGGAGATAAAATTGGTCTTCGAGAAACCAAGCCTAATTATAGACAGATCTCAAATCTGTATTCAAATTTCACTGATATTACTTCAAGCACACGTTTACTCAAGTAGCTCATTGTGCTGTGTTGTAGGGCTTGTGAGAAACGTCACTAGGAGAGCAATAGACTGACCAAACAAAGAGGGTTTATGCCGAAAAAGATGTTAAAAAAAGAAGCATGCTACATTTGCCTAAGATCATGGCTTCTAATTTTTTAACTTATTGAACCAAAGAATTCTCTAAAACCCTACAAAATAAGACGCTAATATTACACAGGAGCAATGCAAGTGGTTCTGAAATGTCCGGTCTGATTACACCGGCTACAGTGAACCATCCGCTTCACACGGCCACGATCCTCTGCTCTAACTCTTG